CTTCCTTGGGCACCCATGTTTGCTGAGAAACTTTGTGCATAGTCCTTAGAAATGGACCTAGAGTTTGCATTTCTAGTTTGTAAACTAGTGATGCTTAATACTAGTGTTCTTTATTCTTTTAAAAAAAAAAATATAAATATATATATTTATATATATATATATATATATATTATTGCATTTTAGGTTCTGGGGTTCATGTAAAGAACATGCAGGATTGTTGCATAGGTACATACATGGCAATTCGGTTTACTGCCTCCATCCCATCACCTATATCTGGCATTTCTCACCATGTTATCCCTCCCCAACTCCCTAGCCCTACTGTCCCTCTCCTAGTCCCCCGCAAATAGACCTCAGTGTGTGACGCTTCCCTCCCTGTGCCCATGTGTTCTCATTGTTCAACACCCACCTATGAGTGAGAAACGCGGTGCTTGATTCTCTGTTCCTGTGTCAGTTTGCTGAGAATCATGGTTTCCAGGTTCATCCATGTCCCAATAAAGGACATGAACTTCATCATTTTTTATGGCTGCATAGTATTCCATGGGGTATATGTGCGATATTTTACTTGTCCAGTCTATCATCGATGGGCAATAGCACTGTTTGCTATTGTAAACAGTGCTGCAATGAACATATGAGCGCCATGTGTCCTTATAATAGAACGATTTACAATCCTTTGGATATATACCCAATAATAGGATTGTTGGGTCAAATGGAATATCTATGTCTAGGTCCTTGAGGAATCGCCACACTGTCTTCCACAATGGTTGAACTAATTTACACTCCCACCAACAGTGTAAAAGTGTTTCTATTTCTCCACATCCTCTCCAGTATCTGTTGTCTCCAGGTTTTTTAATGATCGCCATTCTAATTGGCATGAGATGGTATCTCAATGTAGTTTTGATTTGCATTTCTTTAATGATCAGTGATGATGAGCATTTTTTCATATGTTTGTTGGCCTCATATATGTGTTCTTTTGAAAAGTGTCTGTTCATATCCTTTGTCCACTTTTGAATGGGTTTGTTTGTTTTCTTGTAAATCTGTTTTAGTTCTTTGTAGATTTTGGATGTAAGTCCTTTGTCAGATGGGTAGATTGCAAAAATTTTTTCCCATTCTGTTGGTTGCCGGTTCACTCTAATGATTGTTTCTTTTGCTGTGCAGAAGTTCTGGAGTTTAATTAGATCCCATTTGTCTATTTTGGCTTTTGTTACCAACACCTTTGGTGTTTTAGTCATGAAATCCTTGCCTACGCCTATGTCCTGAATGGTTTTCCTAGGTTTTCTTCTAAGGTTCTTATGGTGTTAGGTCTTACATTTAAGGCTTTAGTCTATCTGGAATTAATTGTAGTGTAAGGTGTCAGGAAGGGGTCCAGTTTCTGCTTTCTGCACATGGCTAGCCAGTTTTCCCAACACCATTTATTAAACAGGGAATCCTTTTCCCATTGCTTGTTTTTGTCAGGTTTGTCAAAGATCAGATGGTTGCAGATGTGTGGTATTGCCTCCGAGGCCTCTGTTCTGTTCCATTGGTCTCAATCTCTGTTTTGGTAAAAAGTACCATGCTGTTTTGATTACTGTACCCTTGTGGTATAGTTTGAAGTCAGGTAGCGTGATGCCTCCAGCTTTGTTCTTTTTGCTTAGAATTGACTTGGTTATGCAGGATCTCTTAAATGGAATAATACAGTACTTTAAACACATATAGAATTACCAAGCAGTCATACTTCAATATCATGTAGTTTGAGAAATCTATCTTGATTAATGGCCCTTCTGTTCCCCTCTCTGTCTGTCACTAGAGAGCCCACTTAGGTTCATTCTATGTGTTATAGCTCTATTCCAATGTGGGTTTTGAGGATTTCTACTGTGAAGGCTTATGGTTGGTCCAGACAGGCCACTATTTCTAATTTATTTTCTACTGGCATTTCTAAGATAATTTATGTTGTAGCTATCTGAACACAGTATTTTTTGTGTAAAAAAAAAAAAAAAAAAAAAAAAACTTTCTGATGCAAAATAATAGAAGTTACCTTAAACAAGCTTCAAACTGAATTTGCTCCCCCACCCCTACAATGGAGTATGCAAGGGCAATGTAGATTTATCTTCCAAAGTATTTTTTCCTTGATTGTTTCATTGCTCCCATCTTCATTTTTTTAGTTTGGTTGCGGAAGAGAATGATCAGGAAAAAAAGAGCTTAGTGTTCTTGTAATCCTTCTTGTGCATCAAACTCTATTATTTTCACTTTGATGAAGATAATTCCTCTGGCACCACCCACCCTGGGTCAGGTAACACTAAGAGTAATGCAAAGGAAGTTACAAAATGTTCTCCTGTTCTCCCTCCCATCTCCCCCAGTCTGCCTCCAGATGCCTCGCTTTCTGTCCTTGTCTACCTCATTCTCTGGCTGTTTCTGTTTTTCTATTTTTCTCTCTCCTTCCTATAAAAAAAATTGTATTGTGTAGATGATTCACACATCTTGATTTTTCTCACCCATCTAAATTTAAGCTAAATCAAATGGTTTCATATGTCTGTTTAAAACACCACAGATGTTAAGGAAATTACCAACATCAGCTTCTTTTCCTCCCTTAAAATTACATTTCACCAGGTGTCAAAACCCAGCAGAGGGCATCCTTCCTTTTCAGATGCATGCATAGTGCAGGAAAATGGTTCTATAATTCAAGCAATGTATTCCATTTACAATAGTGCATGGCAATTTAAATAAACAGGCTGTTTTAATAGGAGGGGACTTTGTTGTTCTGGAGTGTTGGCCATTTTGAAGAAGTAATTTTCCTTTTATAAGCAAAACAGAAGGGGAAAAATCTGTTTCTGGACGCTCTAGTTTCAGAGCATTAGCTTAAATTATAGAAACAGCAAGGTAGCACCTGTGTGATGCTTCCTCTCCTAGGCTACCGAGTGTGTGAATAAAGTGATCACAGAAAAAAGCAACTGAGAAAGAAGCATGCTCCCTACCTTATTTGTCTGTTTCACCCTCCCTCTGAGATTCCTCAGACTAAAGGACAAATCGCAGGACAGGCATTATAATAGCCTCTAAATTGTCTCAGAAGCAGTGAGAAGATAAGTAGTTTGGTTTCTGAATAAAAACAGCCAACTTTATACCTGTGCATTGAAGGCAGTTGCCCACTAATTTTAACTGCGCAGTTGCACAGAAATTGAAATTGCACAATGGGAAATCTCTTACATTGTCAGACATTTTCTCAAGTTAAAAAAGGCAAATGTTCATAGCCTGTACAAGTTATGTTTTCTCCCTGGTGTGGTTGAGTTTATCAGATCCCTTCTTTATGAAAGAATGTCTTAGGGAGAGAAGGCAGGAAGCATGATGAGGCAATATAGCCTCATTCATCCATCCATTCAACATATGTTCATTTGAACATTTACTTTGCATTAAGCCCTGTTTGAGGTCCTAAAACTATACTAGCAAACAGGCAAAGATCCCTTTCCTTGAGGTGATGTGCCGAAGAGCAAGGGTTTGGGGAGTCAGACAGACAACTTTGATTGCTGGTCACTTAGCCAGCGATGTCACTTGGAGCAAAGGAATTAATGTTTTCTTTTGCAAAATAGGGATTATTCTTCATATTTCCTAAATACATACTTTGTTTCAGGCTCAGGAACCAAGCGCTTAATATTTATAGCTCAATATAGCTCAATATTCTCAATTAGCCTGTAAGTTGTATTCCCATTCCCATTTTACAAATGAGAAAAATCAAAGCACAGAGTCACATGGTATCAGGACAGGAATTTAAAACAAGTCTGTCTGACCCCAGTGCTTGCTCTTAACCAGTATGCCATATGAAAGTTGATTTCTAAGACTCCTCTGAGGATTATATGAGATGACAGACGCAAAGCTGTGAGTGCAGAGGAATGTTGTTATCATTACTATTATTATTTATTATTTTTACCATAATTATTACTGCCATTGTTATAATTTTCTGCAACCTAAGGACATATGTTTAAATACAACAAAAAGAGGATCAATACTTCAAATCAGCATTCCTCTACTAAAGAATGTAATGTGTGTCCAGCTCTGGTTAAAAGTACAATCACATAATGTCATAGCTATTGAATCATGGCTTCCCTACATTTATCTTTTCATAAGATGACAGGATATTAAAATACAGATTGTTTCCCTGAAACAAAATGTGAGCATCTCCTGTTACAGACTTTTATAAGCTCCTCTGAAAAATGAAGGTTAAGACCAGATGCTAAACAAAAGCAAGATCCAAGCATCCATCTGTGGTTTGACGGTCTCTGTTCTGTGATAAGTGATCATGTAGTCAGCCCCTAAGCTGGTTGCTGGTGCCCTTTGGCTCTTTACTGTCACTCTTTCCAAAGTGTATCCTCTGGAGCCCTCTCCATGGGCTTCTTCCACAAGATGTTCACAGATCAATAGGGGTTAATTACACTAACAGTATTATATCAAGAGAAATGAAACAGGCATGTCCTGCTGCTGCTCTGGGAGTTCTCTCTCCTTACCGTAAGCCTGAATTTATGCCTCAAACTGCTGCATTACCCAAGTCCAAAATAATTTTAACAACAAGCAGATGAAATTCTGGCTCCAGACCCCATTTCTCATTGATTTCATGGCAGGATTCTCTCATCCTAGGTTCATTAGGTAGGAAACTGATTGATAATGCAGTATATGAGAATTTATAAACATATATCTTATAAATATCCATTTTTCTTGCCTACACTAAAAATGCAGTCTTTATCCCACATGCCAAGCTTCACAATGCAAAACTGAAGTCAACTGAATATTTTTAAAAATTTATTTCTATTCAAAAACGGAATTTCATGCTGATTTTATCTCACCATGCTTCTGCAGGGAGGAGCACTGTGGCAGCTCATTGTCTGAGACAGAAATAAGTGCTCCAATCCCTTTGCTTTGAGCTCCAAAAAAACCAGCAAGTATTCCAGTAGTTATGGTGCAAATTTATAGATTGTTATAGATTTCTATCATCCTTTTTTGGGTTCTGTGAAAAAGACTTTCCTTGGCAGAGTACTTACCCCAAGGTAATGGCCATCAATGAACACAACAGGGAGAGAAGGAGCTTCAGAAACTCGCCGACATCGTTCATCTAATTCTTTTCCATATTCACCATTCAGGGCTATGTTTTTCTCTTCAAATTTTACACGATGGTTTTGGAAAATCTTTCTAACCAGTTCACATCTTTCAAAGGTTGTCCGGACCACACGAAGGCAGGTGGTATAAATCACTATACGGTCAAATTCTAGGTCAGTTGATGGTTGCTGAAAGGAAAACATGGAGTTGTAAGAATGTGTGCTTTTACCTTCTTGTGTCTTATTATTTTAAGACAATTAAAAATTGCATTAAAGGGATGCAATAAAAGTTGAGTGAACTCATTTGTCAATTCAAAGACTTCTCTTTTAACTTACAACATCTGTAATTGAGATACAGATAACAAACAATATAATTTATATTACATAATTTAATTTTTTTAATCTTCTTAATAGCATATCAAGTAATGGCTAATATTAAAACTGATCATGTATCACATGGGATGCCATGTGGTAAAATAATAAATGACTGAAATATTTTTCTCATGTTTTGTAAACATTGCTCAATTACTATATCTGTTTTATAAACCTAAAGTTTATGCCTTGACTAAGGTTTAAACTTAAAGTTTTATAAACCTAAAGTTAACCTTGATTATTCTGCATACGTTTATTTTGAGTCAGTAGATTTGACGTGAGGCACAGGCACAGGCCTCACCCCAGATCTACTGACTCAAAATAAACTTTTGCAGAATAGTCAAGGCTAGTATTTAGCCAGTTAAAATTCTTCTACTTATAAATTTATCAAATTGTAGAGTCTTTGAGGTAATAATTTCTTGTGAATAACAAGATCTATATCATGGGATTTTTCTAAGGTTTAAATAGCATAACATATGTTTAAGGGCTCTGTTGAGTGATAGGGCTCCCACATGTAATGAGAAAGCTCTGCCACAAGAAATAAAAAATTAAATGTTTTAGAATACAAGTGCACAGAAACCAACACCCAAGTGACTGGAGGGTCAAAGCCAGGCATAAAAAGTAAACAATGAATCAGACACACTGGAGTGGAGGCAAGCAACACTCAAAAACAAGATGAAGACTGCCCTGTGTGAGAATCTTTTTCTACATCTCAGATGTCAGTAGACATCTTTTCTGGGAAACTCTGCCCAGCACTGCTAATGTGTGCTGAAGAGCCGTACCAGGTAGATCCTGAAATCAATAAGAAAGCTTCTCTTCTTTCTTATTACAGTCTTAGTTGAAGGAAAATGAACAGAACACAACTATACCATGAGACCATGGGATACATGAGTCTTTATAAAGCTATAATTTTTGAAAGCACAACCATGCAATTTGCAAAACCCCCATGGAGTCAAAACTTTTGAAACCATTCTGGACAGCTAAATGCTAAAGCAAGCCAGTAAGACACTAAGCTCCACTACTTTGTATGCAGAGAAGGCAGACCACTCTGTCAAGATGCAGATGGACAGGTAACACTCCAAAGGTCCAATGTCATAATGATGCCAATACAAAGGTCTCCACCTCATGGACAGAGAATTTTTCTGATGATAAAATTTATAAAAAATGCAAGAATCATTTATTTTCTCAATAGAGTGTAGAGTCAAGTTGAAAACCCAGAGGCCTGGAGGGATTAAATTGATACCACAAATGCTGAAGCAGGTCAGGAATAAAATAAGTACAAGGGAAAGGCTAAGAGTGCATCTAAATAGAGAAATGTTAAATTACACAACTTAGGCAATTGTTGTTTTACATGTATGTGACTTCATTGTGGTTACACATAATTATTTTATGTAGAAACTTAAAATCTGGATTTTTATAGAAAATTTTCCAATTTATAAATAGTGACAGCTAACTGAAAATGCATTTAAAGACCATGCGGACCAATATTTCTGAAGACAGGATTTGGCACATACTGCCAATTTATTACAACTAAAATAAAGAGAGCATAGCAGCACTATTGACAATAGAAAAGACATGGAATCAACCCAAATACCCATGAATGATAGACTAGATAAAGAAAATGTGGTACATATACACCATGGAATACTATGCAGCCATGAAAATGAGTGAGATGATGTTCTTTGCAGGAACATGAATGGAACTGAAACCCAATACCCTCAGCAAACTAACACAAGGACAGAAAACCAAACACCGCATCTTCTCACTTATAAGTGGGAAGTGAACAATGAGAGGATGTGGATACAAGGAAGGGAACAACACACACTGGGGCCTATCAGAGGGTGAAGTAGGGAGAGCAAGAGCATTAGGAAAAATAGCTAATGCATGCTGGGCTTAATACCTAGGTGATGGTTGGATAGGTACAGCAAACAACCATGGCACATGTTTACCTATGTAACAAACTTGCACATCCTTCACATGTACCCCAGAATTTAAAATAAAAATAAAAATGTATATATTTTTTAAAAAATAGAGCATAAGCTTGAAAATCAGATATATCTGAGCTCTGCCACTGGCCACCTGTGTATCTTTGGGAAGCTAATGAACTATTGTCTCAGTGTTCTCATCTGTGATGAGAATATGATAACAATACCTACCTAACCAGTTTGCTGAGAACATTAAGAGAAAATGTGAACTAAGCTAGTGTAAGACTTGCCACACAGTACTATTCTAAGTTAAGCAGAGAAAACTATTACACTTCACATCATGGAATTTTTAAGATTAAAAAAAATAATAAGCCAGTAGAAAAAAAATCAGTGTAACTGATGACAAAAAGAAAATTATTACTATGTTTTAGATTTAGAAACACTGATCTTTAGAAGGAGCAATCAAGTGCCCAAGGTTCTATAGCTCCTCTTCATATTGACAGATATGGGCAAGCAAGGCACAGGAACTCACTGCAGATGCTGCAGCTTTCAGAAGAGCACAGAAGTTCCCTTTTTTTCTCATCATATTATCTGTGTAATTATGTATTGTTCCTCTGGATGCAAAGACTACTATTACTGCATTAGTTTTCTACCAAAATGGTCCACTGCTTCAAATAGCTACATTTACTTTTGAATTATTTGTTATGAAATACTTTTTTCCCTGATGTGTCAAAGTCGGAAAATTTAAGATTGGACCATCCTGCTGCCACGTTAACGAATTCATATAAGATTCTCTCTGATTATAGCACAAACCGTGTATACCACCTTTCTGTGTCTCTAAGACACATGCATTTTCAAAATACTAACAAGATTACCTTTATCAGGTGGCCACATTGGATGTCATTAATGTATGAGATCACATGGATATCCCTTAACCTGTTGTTGAGGATGAGCTTTGCCTGCAATCAGTGGATCTCCAAGAACGTTGAATATTAGAATAAACTGGGGAGTCTTTGAAAATCCCCAAATCCTAGGTGAAGCTCATACCAATTAAATAAGAATCACCAGAGTGGGGCCTCTGAATTGGGATTTTTTTTTAAGTTCCTATGGTAATTCTAATGTAGAGCTAAGTTCTAGAGCTAGTTAGACACAGGTTGGATATGCAGAATCACAGGCCTCACCCCAGAACTACTGATTCAGAATCTACATTTTAAAAAGCTTCCCAGAATTTGGATACATATTATATATTTTTAAGTTGTACATACTTGAGATGTATCATATGATGTTTTGATATACAGTTAAATAATTACTGCAGTCAACATAGAACATCTCCCTATTATATCCCCCTTCTCTACTCCCAACTACTAACAGTCACCATTCAACTGTTTCTATGTATTTGAGATTGCTTTTGTTTGTTTGTATGTTTGTTGATTTGTTTTCAGATTTCACATATAAGTGAGATCATGGAGTATTTTTCTTTCTCTGCCTGGCTTATTTCACTTAGCATAATATTCTCTAGGTTCATCTATGTTATCACAAATAGCAATATTCGTTTAATTTTTAAGACTAAATTATATTCATTGTTTATATATATTGCAGTTTCTTTATTCATTTATCCTTAAGGATACTTAGGTTGTATCTATATCTTGGCTATTGTAAATAATGATGCAAAAAAACATAACCATGAGAGTGCAGATAACTTTAAGAGTTTGTAATTTCATTTCCTTTGATTACATACCCAGAATGAGGATTGCTGGCTAATATGATAGTTCTATTTTTCATTTTTTTCTTTCTTTTTTTTTTTTTTTTTTTTTTTGAGACGGAGTCATGTTCTGTCTCCCAGGCTAGAGTGCAGTGGCACAATCTTCACTCACTGTAACTTCTGCCTCCTGAGTCAAGCAATTCTCCTGCCTCAGCCTCCCAAGTAGCTGGGATTACAGGTGCCCACCCCCATGCCCAGCTAATTTTTTCTTTTTTTTTTGTATTTTTAGTAGATACAGGGTTTCATCATCTTGGCCAGGCTGGTCTTGAACTCCTGACCTTGTGATCCAACCACCTTGGCCTCCCAAAGTGCTAGAATTACAGGCATGAGTCTCTATTTTAGATTTCTTTAAGAATATTCATAATATTCATAATGGCTACAACAATCTGCTGGTGGGAAGTAGATTGTACCCTTTTCTTCACACATGTGCAACACTTGCTGTTTCTTGTCTTTTTAATAGTAGCCATCCGAAGAAGTGTAAGGTGATATCTCATTGTCATTTTGATTTGCATTTCCCATTTTGGTTTTGATGTTATTAATGTTGAGCACTTTTTTACATATCTCTTGACTATTTGTATGTCTTCTTCAGAGATGTCTATTCTGGTCATTTGCCCTTTTTTTTGTATTGGACTATTTGTTTTTTGCTATTGAGTTAGTTATTTGTGTTCCTATATACTTGGGATATTAACCACTTATCCATATATGGCTCACAAATATTTTCTCCCAATCAATTAACGGCATTTTCATTTTGTTAATTATTTTCCTTTCTGTACAGAAGCATTTTAGTTTTGTGCAGTCCCACTTGTTTATTTTTCCTTGCATTACCTGCGTTTTGAAGAAAACATCCAAAAACTAAAAAATTCCTTGCCAACGGTAATATCAAGGAGACTTTCCCCTATGTTTTCTAGGAGTTTTACAGTTTGGAGTCATATGCTAAGATCTTCAATCCATTTTGCATATGTGGTATAGGATAAGAGTCCAACTTCATTCTTTTGCATGTAGATACTCAGTTTTCCCAACAACATTTATTGAAGAGACTATCACTTCCCCATTGCATCTTCTTAGTGCCTTTGTTGAAAATTAGTTTACCTTATATAGTTGAGTTTATTTCTGTTACCAGGAACGGCAGG